CCGCTGGTCCCGGGCGAGTGGGGACCACGGAGGGGGACGGGATGTCCAGGGTCCCACCTGGGTAGCACCCTGATGGGGACAGGGACGGTGCCCGCAGCCCTGCCAGAGCCGTCCCGGCGGTGTCTGGACCGCGGGCGGGCGCATCACCTGCGTGGTGGACATTTGCCGCTGAGTTTCAGATGGGGAGGGGGGGGGAAATAATAATCTCTGCACAGTGGCTACTTTTCAGAATCAAATAACTCAGCCATTTAAAAAAACAAATTAATAATTTTCTTCTCCTGTTAATGTGTAATTAGCAAATGGCAGCAGCACTCCCTGGGGAAGGGCTGAGTGCCTGCGAAATGTCACCATTTAAAAGGATGTCTTTCTTTTTTTTTATTTGCATGGCTTTAAAATAAAACCCAATATAATGAAACCATCTGTAAAACATCATCCTGTTTTGTTCAGGACTAGGGCATAATAGGGGGAAAAATTCTCTCCTGATACTATTTTTTAGTATTTTAATAATATTGGGATTTTATTACACTGATGCCTCGTGGAGAGGAAAGGCTGCCTTCGTGCTGCGAGGGGCTTTGCCCTGGGGGCTGCGGGGGCTCCCCGAGGGCCATCCCGGGCTGGGCACCCCAGGGCAATTGGGTCCGGCCCTGGGACGAGTCCCTGAAACCTCAGTTGCAAGTGCCTGGCACGGGGGGACCCCACCCAGGGACCCCCCAGGATGGGGGGGACAAGGGGACCGGGTGCGTGGGCAGATGGAGCATCCCCAGACAGGACCAGGGTCTGCTTTTCCTGGCTCCGGGTCTGTAAAAATCCTTAATCCAGTAACAAACATGAGTGAGCCGAGCCCGGGGAGCGTGTTAACAGCTTTAGCCATCGTTGAACTGTTCCCCGGCGCGCTCTGAGCTGCCGCCGGTCAGGGTTTGGCTGCGGGACCGCCGGGCTGTTGGCGAGCGGGTGCCCCTGCCCCACACGGGCTGGTCCATCCCCAGCCCCGGCCATGTTCGAGCCGCCCTGGCCACCGCAGCTAATCCCCCTCGCGCAACGGCACCCGCCTCTGGCACATGGGGCTGTCAGGGCGGCTGAGGAGGGGACGGGGTGAAACGCTGCCTAATCCCATTTAGAAGGCAGGAACCAGAGCACCCCGTGCCCTCGCCCACCCTCCAGCCCCCAATCCTGCGGCGTCCCCGCGCTGCCTACCCCTGCGGCACGGGGCTGCCGGAGCTGCGTGTTGGTGTCCCTGCTTCAGGTCTGGCAGCGGCGCCTTCGGGGAGGCGGGGAGTCCCTGAGTCCTTTATTTTTTTTTTTTCCATTAATCTTGAGACGGTGCCAGGGTTTGAGGGGGGATTGGTACCTGGCTCCTCGCCGTGGGGGATGCTGCTGCATCAGCAGCATCCGGACCCCAACCCCCGGGGTGCTGAGCATCACCCCCCTTCCGCCAGGGCAGGATCCGCCCTGGAGCGCGGCCATCCCGCATGGCTCTGCCTCCGGCTCAACGCCTCCCTCTCTTCCTCCCCTTCCACAGACGATTCCCTCTACGAGTCCCCGGAGCCCATTTTCACCAGCAACAACTCCTGCTGCAGCCTCAGGGTCCCGCACGCCGTGCTCGTGGTGGTGCCGGTCGTCTGGACGCTCCTGGCCTCGTAGCGCCAACGCCGACGTGCCGGGGAGTGGCTCTGTGGGGAAGGAGCAGCCCGGGGACGGATCCTGGCCACCCCAAATCGCCTTCGAGTCGTGGCTCCTGCAGCAGCGAGACAGTGCCCGGGGAGGTCGCCGGCACGGAGGGTCGGCGCTGCCGGCGAGAAGCTCACCCGGATCCTGCCGCCACGTGAAGTCCCCGTCCTCGCACGGCCACCCGTGCTGGGGCATCGCGCTGGGAATGGTGAAGGGCTGCCCCGCGGGACGGATCCTGGCTGCGCACGCCGAAAGCTCCCGTCCCTGCGCTGCAGCTCACTCAGCGCCGGCCCTCCCTGTCGGATGTTGCTTTTTACATTTCTAGACCAAATACAGAGTCCTCGTTTGGTGTGGTTTTGTTTTGGTTTTGTTTTTTTTTTAAAGAAAAAATATTTTTATTTTTATTTGTCGGGTTGTTTCAGTCCAGGCTTCTCATTGTCTTTGGTCCCGAAGGGGGGAGGGCTCAGCCGCCTCCCGCAGAGCCCCTCGCCGGGGTGGCAGCAGCACCCTGCCTTCGCCCGGCCACGGGCAGAGTCACGGACAGCACCAGGATGCCGGGAGAGACGGGACGCCAGCGATGGTGCCGACGGCTCCGTTGTCGCAGACTCCTTCCCAGCCCGGCTCTCGCTCCAGCAGCAGGACGTTGCAGTGCCGGCCCCGCCACGCTCTCCCTGCCACCCCCCTGCCACGGAGGGACAGGGACGGGGGGCCCGGACGGACACGAGCCCCTGCTGAGCCCCCGGTGGGGTGACCCTGTCCCCAGCACTCGTGCCGTGGATGTCACTGTTGTCCCCATGGGACCCGGGGCAGCTCTGCGGGCAGCAAAGCAAACTGGACGCACCCGAGGGGAGCACCGGGGATGCCCGGCTGGCGCCAGGAGCACCGGGGATGCCCGGCTGGCACATGAAGCGCCGCCGGGCGCTGGGAGCCGGCGGGCCGGGCTCGCCCAGCAGCTGGGATCGCTCCGAGGGCGTTTGGCTGGACCCGGGGCTGGAGTCCCCATCCGTGGCGGGGCTGATCTCGCTGGGGCAGGAGGAGCGTGCCAGCCCCGGCGCTGCCCATAGGGCAGGTTTTCCTCCCCCACAGCCTTCTGCTCTGCGCCGGATCCCCCCCGACGCCTTGGGGGTATGAGAACACCCCCCCCTCCCCCCGGGGGGGGCCGG